AGCTGGAACCTTGCTGGTAGTCTACAAGCTTCATGGTAAAATATACAATAATGAAAATGGGTTAAATTAAGATGTAAGAGCTAGCCAATAAGAATCTAGAGCTAACAGGCCAAGCAGTGATTTAATTAATACAGCTTCTGAGTGGTTATTTCAAGTCTGGGCAGCCGAGAATGAGCAAGCAGCTTCCTACTACAGTCAGGTGTGCCCATCATCCCAGCACATGGGAGGCTGAGGCAAGAGAATTGCCATCAGTTGAAGACAAGCCCGAGCAACATTGTATGACCCTGTCTCAAAAACAGGCAGAAAAGAACATGATTCTGACGAGTCCAATTACGGGCAGCATGGTTAAGGAATCTGATCAAGCGCCCTCAGAGTTCAGAGTATGACAAGAAGTCAACCCATAAACTTGCATGTTTAGAACTTAACTCTAGAAGCAGAGAAGTTGTAATTTCAGTTGGAGGCTTTCAGATCTCATTCAGTGAGAAAGACAGGAAACAAAGAACATGTGTTTTGTCCAGACAGATCTACAGAGCACAGTGAGCAGAACTGGGAATGGACTAGACAGGAAAGAGAAAGGAGAAAGAAAAGTTGAGCGGTTACTATTTGATAAGCAATTTTAAGTTTCATTAAATTTAGTAGATTTTGAAAAAAAATGCATGTTTATGCCTTGGAAGCTCCAATAGTATTGCCAAACATTTCACACAAGACATCTGGATGGGCTGTGCACATTCCTGCAGGTAAGCTAATTCTTCATCTACAACAGCTGGCATTTCCATCAGGTTCCTGCTGGCCTCTAAGTGAATTTGACTGGTATACTACAAACACTAATCCAGGCTTCGCTTTGGTGGATATTCAAGGACATACTTATAATTAGTGGCCCACACTGTCATGCCCTCCCTTTAATAAGGAAGGACAGCGTGCAGCAGGAACTGTGATACCATCCCCACCCCCAGAAACCTCACAATCATGAAACGAGCACCCGTATCCTTCACAAATCAAATTCTTCTGTGCTCTCCAATGATTAACCAGAATGAAGAGCTCATGTCTGCAAATGTTGATGAGGTCAACAAAGTAAGAATCATTTACCCTGCTCTAATAGAACACTCAGGAAGACATTGATTTTCAGTTCCACTTAATACATTGAGCTTCAGAATCTCATTTTTAACCAAGATTTGAAGCTGAATCTTTCCCTAGTTGTAGCCCAGATAGTGGCATCCCCAAAAACATACATCCTAGGTTGCAGTTTCCCACAGAAATCCTCATATGTCTTCTTACTTTCTAAGTACTGTTGGTGGAGTCTGCTTGTTTGTTCCCAGTTGCCCAAACCTGAAATAATCGCACAGAAACTGTATTAGTTGCAATACTGTTTGGCCAACAGCTTAAGCGTATTGATAGCTAGCTCTTATATCTTAAGTTAACCCGTTTATATTAATCTGTGTATCACCAAGTGGTTGTGACCTACTGGTAAGGTTTCATCTGGTGGCATTTGTCTCCTGCATCTGTCTCCTCCAGTGGCTCCACAGCTTCTCTATGACTCTGCCTACTCTCTCCACTTCTATCTGCTTGGAATTCCCTCCTTGCCCTAGTCTGTGCTACAATAGGCCCAAAACAGCTTCTTTATTAACCATGGTATTCACAGCATTGTAGTGAGGAGCTGCGGGCTGGCCTGCTTTTCATTCCGCCCGGATCCTGCACAGCTATCTTAGCCCCAGAAATAATAACACATAAGTTGTATTCATTTAAACACTGCCTGACCCATTATCTCTAGAGAGTTAGTTACTAACTCTCACATCTTGATTAACCCATTTCTAATAATCTGTGTAGCACCACGAAGTGGTGGCTTACCAGAAAAGATTCAGCATGTCTGACCTGGTGGCTGGTTCCATGGCATCTGCCTCATTGCCCTCTTCCCAGCATTCTGTTCTGTTTACTCTGCCTACCTAATGTTCTATCCTATTAGAGGGCCAAGGCAGTCTCTTTATTAACAAATGAAAATAACACATAACAGAAGGCCCACCTACATCATTTCCCCTTTTTCTATTTAAACAAAAAAGTAAGGCTTTCACTTTAACATAGTAAAATTACATATATTAAAAAAAACAGGATAACTGCATCCACATAAAGCCTGAGACAGCTTGGGAAGTAATTCTAGAACAAAATGACAGCATTGCGAGTGGTTTCTTGGTAGCAGGAATTTCTCAGATCTGCTCTGCTTGCTAGAGGCAAGCAAGCGCTCTCATCTAAGAGAGGCTTCCTGACTCAGCTTTAGCTGCAAAACCCTGCAGCTCATTAAGAGGTACTGCCACGAAACACTTAAACGGTGTTGGTGAAAAGCTGAATGCATGCTTTTTGGCTTTCAGCCATAGCAGGAAAAATGCTGTGCTATTTTAAAATGCTGGCTTTCTGGGTCATCCTGCCAGGGCAAACTCTGTCTCTTTCAGGTAGGCAGTCTGACTATGGAGGATTTGAATGTGGTCTGTGAGCAGAATGATGAAGCTTGCTTTCTGGCAGGGATCTTGAAATGCCACTGAGTTGTAGCAATAAAAATGGCTCCAGCAGTATTTCTGCCATGAGGCTGGAAAGCTAAGAAACGGGCTGGATCTAACTGTCAAAGCCACGGCTTTAGTCCTACCCATTAAAGACTCATGTGGTCAGAAAAAGAGAGATATATAGTAAAGAGAGATTCAGAGACAAAGAAACCCTCTAAATATTTTACAGTGTGTTAAAAATATATGCAGGCTAAAAGTTAAAGTTCTTAAAGTAAAAAAAGGAAGAAAGAAAGTAGTTGGGTGTGGTGGCACACACCTTTAATCCCAATGCCTGGGAGGCAGAGGTAGATTGACCTCTGTGACTTCAAGGGGCAGAGGTAGATTGACCTCTGTGACTTCAAGGTGTGGCAGCACATGCCTTTAATCTCAGCACTGGGAAGGCAGAGACAGAGGGATCTCTGTGAGTTCAAGGACAGCATGGTCTACAGAGTTATTCCAGGACAAAGATATGCAGAGAACCTGTCTCAAAAAGCCAAAAGTTAAAAGAAAAAATAAAAGAAATAGAGGTTAAAAGGTTAAAATAAAGCCGCATAAAGATGGAAAATACACAGAGAATCTTGATACTGTGTGTTATTATGCTCTCTTTGAATTGTTTGAATGCTGAGGAAGGAGCAACAGCTGCTAAAAGATATTTGCTTATAAATGCTGCTGAATTAATCCAAGATAGATATTTTGAAAATACCTTAACTTCAAAATTGAAGTCAAAAGGTATGTTACTTTGGAGAAGAGATTTTGCCTTTTTTTCCACAGAAAATGAGAGGCTGTGGATTCATTCTGAGCTAAGAAAAATCAGTTTTGATCAAGGAAGACCACCTGAGAAATCTCTGGTAGGAACAGATGGCCTGGATGTTTGAATTCTACATCCAGAACAGATTCAAGACTGCTGCCTGAGATGATCAAGACTCACAGGATACTCCAGTCAGGACTTGATTATAACTCTAAATTTTCTTTAGGTCCCCATAAGATTATCAGTGCCCCCAACCAGCTGGAAGTAGCCTGGAATACTACGCCCACATTTCCAAAAAATGGACTATGGGTGTTTTCCTTTTTTTAAAAAAAAAAAGAAGGGGAAGTGGTGTGGGAGAATTATCTGTATTCTGTCAATCATGTATTTTAATAAAACACTGATTGGCCAGGCAGGAAGTATAGGTGGGTCAACCAGACAGGAAGTAGAGGCGGGGCGATGAGAACAGGAATATTCTGGGAAGCAGGAAGCTCCCTCTGCCACTCCTGCCCAGATCACTGAGGAAGCAACATGTGAGCTGACAGCTGAAAAAGGTACCAAGCCATAAGGCTAACATAGATAAGGATAATGGGGTAACAAAAGTTATAAGAACTAATAAGTCTCCTGACCTAATGGGCCAATCAGTTTATAACCTAATGTAGACTCTGTGAGATTTTCTTTGAGACTTGCCAGCTGTGGGGTACTGGGTGGAACAGATACCCCAACAAGCCGGCCCTCATGTTACACAGCATACACAGAGGAATTCCACATAACCTTTGCCTTTCTATCAAAATAATAAGGAAGGTTTTAACTTTAATATAACAAGATTGCATGCAACAAAACCATTATCAATCAAAAATTATAGATACAATATTTATATATACTTTATCTTTTATTATGACTAAGGAAAAGTATAACTATCTATTCTTTAACTCCATCAAAGACTCCAGAAAGATATAATATTACCTAAGTAAACAGGAAGTGCATTGTAAACAATGTCCAAAACTCTAGAAATAACAGAGACATCTCGCTGCCTGGACAGTCAGCCAAAGTTCTTCTGCACCACTGGCGTGTCTATCTTTAGCCTACAGGCCCATAGTATCTAGTAGACTTTTCCATGAATCAGAAAATCTGAAGATCTGTTCTGCCTTGTAATGGCAAAGTCCATCAGTTGCTTTTTTCTGTGTCCTGCAGAATGTCTGGCAGACTCTTTCAGGAAGCAGGAACCCCGAAAGATGCTCTCACCCTTAGTCAAGTTCAGGAGTCAATTTTCTGTGGGTTCTTTATGCCTAGTTCATACAGCGTAACATCAAACAGTCCAGGCAAGAGCAGTTTCTTGCCCAAATGACCATCAAACTCCATAAGGACCTTTCTTCAACACCCATCATCCTTTTGAAGTAGATTGGTGATTTCAGAAGCAGACAGGTATCATTGTCCTAAGAAGTCCTAAGTTCTTAAAACATTTAAATGCTATATTCTGTACGTCTTTGAATAAGTTGAAGTATATCCCTTCATCTGAAATATATCTCTGCACATCTAGAAAATCTAGCTAGGAATGACTACAAGCTTGGCTATCATAGATGACTATTAACCTAAAATTTTTAGTTATAGATTACATTTTTAAATGAGCTGCATAAACACAATACCTTAATCAATTTTAACAAAATTGATCTTAAATTTGTATCACTAAACCAAAATCCATACCAATGCAAAGTATTCATCTCTATAAGCATATCCCCCTTTAAATGTAAACAAACACTTTTAAACAATTTTTGGGAATTTGAGCATAGTTATCTCCAAAATACTTCCTGCTGTTATTGGGCAAAGCATTTCTAGGGTTCAGAAAGACCTCTTGGGGGGTCTTGTTCCTTCACATCACATTAGCCTATAAGGAATCTATAGGTTCTCATCTTCTGTAGAAACAAAAGCAGAACCTCTTTTCCAAAGCAACATTTTCTTAGACCCAAATTTTGAAATCAAGATATCTTTAAAATATATATGTTGGTTTAGCTTAACAGTCCCCAGAATCATATAGCTCTCCGCAGTAAAAAAAAAAAAAATTAAAACACAATAATAAACATAATTCAGACTTTCTGTGTACATTTCATCTTTACATGGCTTGTTTTTCTTTACCCCTTTAATCTATGTCTCTTTAAAGATGTTGTCTTATTTTTTTTTCATTTTTTTCAGACTGATTACTTTTATTTAAAGCACATCAAGTTATTGAAACGATGGTTTCATGTAAATTGTCCTTTAGGAGCGATTGTAGAGCTGAGAAGAGTCTTTAGATGTTGACACGTAGAGATTCCTCAACTGTAATCTGGTACTGAGTTTCCTCATCCAGTTGAAGATTCATGAAATCTCCATAATCAAATTGGTGTCTCTCGTTTAGATGACTAACGAAATTTCTGGTAAGTTGAGTAGGGTCGCCCCATGGAAGAGATAGACAAATCGGGCAAATGGATGGAACAATATGAGCTCCGTGGTTGCTGTTACAATGATCTAGCAAACGCTGTCTGGTCATGTTTGCTTCTTCGCACAAAGGACAATCAAAAGAAGGCTGATCAGATGGGACTGCATTTTCTTCTAGATAAGCCTCGGCATTTTCAGAGGTGGAAGCCTCGCTGTTGCTGTTGCTGTTGCCCACAGAGTCTGGAGACAGTTGGAAACTTGAAAGAGCTGAAGAAACTCCAAACTCATCTTGATACTTTTTGCAAGTTTTGTAATGTTGTCTCATGCGACAGAGTTCGATTGGTTGGGAACAGGATCGGCAACTACCAGGAAAACTTTTCATGATTGTCTCCAGGTCTAGGGCCCTCTCTGGACGTGCTCTTTCTCGTCTAGTCACATTTCCACGGCACAGGGGGCAATGGATCCGGCTCTCCTTCATTGCAGTTAGGAAGCATTTTCGGCAGAAAACGTGCTGACAGGCGGCAACCCTAACCGGCGTCTTGAAAACTTCTTGACAGATCGGACAGTAGAAATCATCTTCGTTGTAAGGCGTGGAGGCAGACTCATCCTCTGCCATGGTGGTGACGGGCAGAGGATGGCGGCTGTCAACTCACAGCTGCGGAGGTGGTGGTGGCAGCCTGTATCTTGATTTCCTCTGACCATCCAAGTGGTGCTTCAGGTCAAGCTGCCTCTCTCTGCTGCCTATCGGTAGAGGGGTGGCCCTATGCAGTCCAACTTCAGTCCGTTTCTGTCCCGCAGTTGACTGTTCTTTGGAGTAGTGGAAACCCAGCAAATGAAGGGTGGCGCTCTGTTCTCATGGACCTCAAAGCCCACCAGACCCGAAGCTGATGGTAGTGGGGTCCTTCCCTCTCCGCCGGCAGCCTTCTTGAGGTTGAACTGCTGCCTGTCTAGCTGGTGGTCACTGCGGAGTGGATGACCACGCTACAAAAGTCTCCCTAGCAACCAGCCCGTCACTCCTTCAGCTGGTTGTGACGTAAGCCACACCAGGTACATTTAATTTACCAAGATTTTTTTTTTTTAAGTCTAGGTGGGTCTGGTGACACAGGCTTGTGATCTGAGCCAGTAAGAGGAGGCCGAGGCAGGACGATCACGAGTTCTAGTCCAGACTAGGCAACTTAGGGAGAAACTTAGGGGATCCCTCATCTGGAAAAAGTAAGAAGAGTTCTGCGAATAGAACTTAACGTTTCTGTTGCCGCATGTACAAAATGCTAGGTTTAATCCCTAGCATCGCATAAAGTCCCCCAAAGAAATTCTTCTGTGTGGCCAATTAAGGGTCACTGTTAATCAGGCAACCGTCTATTTTTTAAAACCATTTACTTCTTTTTATAACTGTCTGTATTCTTTTTCTTCTCTCTCTCGAGCCTACATACATTTATCCAACACCATGACTCATTAGAGGTCTTTTCCATCTGACTTTGCCTTTATTGCATGTCTGTTATAATTTCCTGACCAGGAATGCTTTTAAAATGGTAAGAAGCTTGATTGCAGTGGCCCTGGATGCAGCTCTGCCTTTCTCAGGCTTTCAGTAGGGCGGAAGTAGATCACTGCTGACTCTGAGGCTGCTGGGTAGTAGCTGTTCTCACCACCTCCACTCTGGGAAGCTCCGCGCAGCATATAAACCCTTTTCATAAGCGTAAAAGCTAACTCTGCCATGCAGCACACTGCAGGGCCTGGAAATACCTCTGTGTATGGTGGTGGGAATTCTCTTCCTGTGCACTCCTAGCCGACCAGATCCCATCGCCTGATTGAATCAATTGAGTCGGGGCACTGAGCCAGGGGTATGGTCTCAGTTACTTTCCTCCTAACCCCAAGCAGGCATATAAGCACTCAGGACCATAAACCCCACAAACCCCATTCAAGTGCTCAGCCTCTGGAAGGAGCCAAAGTTGTTCACGCAACTAGCATGAACCAGGAAGCCTTCCCTTACAGAAATTGCATGGGTTTTGCTTTGTTTTGCTGCTACTGCTGAATCAGGAAGACCTGATTAAAGGAGCCCTGGCGCCTCACTGCCAGCAAACAGCTCATGGGGGATGGGGTTGGGGGGGTGATGTGGCTACCAAGGAGCTGCACTTGCTCCTGTTTATATGTGTCTAAAAACCCTCTTTTTCCTTTTTTAAACTTTTTTAGGCTTTACGTGGATGTACATTGCCAAATATTGGGTGTCAATTTGTTGGAGGAGGCTGCTCGTTTGTTCCTGGTCACTCAGACCCAAAATAATCCATATCTATTAGTCTGTGTATTGCCATTTGATTGGGGCCTACCAGTAAGGTTCTGTGCTGCAGGAGCACCTTCCACTCCTTCAACCAATAGCTGCTGAAATACCAGCCCACTGGGGCGTAGTATATTTCTCTTTAAAAAAGAGCGGCAAGCCTCAGCTCGCTCTCTTGGTTCCGGAACTTGGTTCTGGCTCCTGCTCCAGTGACTAGGCTCCTTTCCTGATGGTTTGTGTTATGTGAGTTTTACCCCCCAAAATAAATACTCCTTTAAAACCTAACTGGTGTGGGACTGTTTCGCGCATTAGTTCCGTACAGTAATATCTGTCTCCTGCATCTGTCTTCTCTGGTGACTCCATGGCTTCTTTCTGACTCCGCCTCCTTTCTTCTCATCTAACTACTGGGAATTCCCATCTTGTACTATTCTGCCCTGCAATAGGCCCAAAGCAGCTTCTTTATTAACCAGTGATATTCACAGCATACAGAGGGGATTCCCACATCAGGGTACAGTTGCTCCTCAGCCTCACTAGGACTTGCCCTGGACCTCTTTCAGGGTGTTCTGACCTTTGATGGAGAATTGTACACTTGGAATGCGTCTTCGTGGAGGCCAATTTGTCATATCCCTTTACTTGTCATTGTCGATGTATTCCTCTCAATACCTGAAAGTTTTTGTCTTTCATGTATACCTCAAAGTCCTCTTCTCCTTTCTAGCACCATCTACTTTACTGCTCCTTATATGGAAATATTTGACCCTTTCTGTGGGAGCTCAGCTTCCATTCATCTTAATAGCATACTACTATTTCCAGAACTGAATCCACAAGCAATGGAATGAATGACTAGTCAACATGAATCAAGACTCAAAAGTTGGTATAAAGACTTGAAAAGGACCAGTAGACATAGACACTAGGGTTAGTCTTCTCCCAGTCTTATAAAAGTAATGCTATGTGAGCAGCAGACCATGGAAGACTATCTACCTATCTATCGATCGATCGATCCATCCATCCATCCATCTCATTATATATGCATTTAATGTACAAATGTATGTGTCTGCTTAAGTTTATTCATACCATGCATGATCAGGGATTCTTAAAGATAAGAATATGGTGTCTGACCTTGAGGAAATGGAGTTAGAGATGGTTGTTAATTACCTGGGTCCTGGACACTGAACCCAGATTCTCTAAAAGAACAGTAAGTACTCTTAACAACTAATAATTATAATAAAGCATACATCCCCCAAACTCAACAACAAAAACCAAAATAAGATCATTCCCTAAATATTACAGCAGAATCTTTAATGATGTAAATTGTGATTCAAGATTTTAATTCCATCACGTGATAGGCTGAAACAGGAAGATTGTCATGAGTTCAAGGCCAACTTGGACTGCAGAGTAAAACCCTATCTCAAAAGAAAGGATGAACGATATGGGGGTGGAGAAGTAGAATGAGAGGAGGAGGGAGAGGAAAAGGGATGGAAGGGGTGAAGTTAGGAAAGAGAAAGGTATTCAGATCTCCCCTGCCCTGCCCAGATGTTACTCCATATGGCAAAGAACAATGGTCTTTCAGATTTCCTCTTGCTCTTAGAGACTCCATTTTACAAGAAGCATTTGACTATTACAAGGATAGAGAAAAGCTGTACCTGGATGGCACATGTGAATTGCACCATCTCTATGGCACCACTCATCCTGAGCAGTCTGATAAATCCTGGGAGCAGAAAGAATGCCAATAGGAAAATTTGTTGAAGTAAATTGGGACTGTAAGGGTACAAAAATATTCTGTCAAAGAAACCAGGCACAAAATCTTATTAAACATACCAAAAGAAGGAAAGAGTACAACTTTGCCCTAGCTTGCTTTTTGTTGCTTAAACATCTCAATCACAGAGTCTATAAGTGAGAAAAGTCAGGACAGCAACTCAAATAAGAGCCCTGGCGGAATTCTTTTTATTGAATTGCTCTCCATAGTTTGTTCAGTTTGCTTTATTGCACAAACTAGTACTACCTGCTCAGGAATGGCACTACCCCCAGGGGACTTGGATGTCCCACTTCAATCATTAATCAAGAAAGACATCTCATGTTATAATAATGACACCTCCTACAGACCTGTCATCTGACCACCCTAGGTCTGCATCAAGGACCAAGAGGAAGAGAATCCCTGTGTTTCCCATGATCTTGAACACAATCTTCACTGTGAATGTGGTCTACATGAGCTGCTATCTGCCAATTTTCTACACATCCATCTGAACCTGTCATTTACCCCTTGTTTGTTTTTCTTGACTCAGTCGATCCTGCCCTTTCTCACTTGCAGTTGGACTCCACCCAGCAGCTGTGCTCCAATCTATGCTGCAGCAGCAACAGTAGGAGCCTACCTGTAAGCCACATCAGATATGGTGGGACTTTCCATTCAGGCTGTTTCTCCTCAGTGCTGAGCACCTTGTATTTTCACTATTTTAGGAGCTTTGGCTATTCAAGCCTCTCTGAAACTCATCACTTCTTAAATTTCCTTAATTCCGTTCTGCAACACACACACAAACACACGCGCGTGCGCGCACACACACACATACACACACACACACACACACACACACACTAGGTAGATGATAGACAGACAGACAGATACATAGATAGATAGATGATAGAGACAAACAAAAATAGATTTAATCCATAATGTGCAATGTATAAGCTGAGGTTTGTATTAACAGTTAAGATTGTAATAAAAAAAAGTCTTTATTTGCATTGCTAGATTTATCAAGGAAAGCAAGACTATCTGGAAAGTTGAAACCTACTGTGCTTTGTGAAATTGTCATTTAATAAATTCTGACATTGTGAAAAGAGGTAAACATGGTTATGTTTGTTTCTGATATAGTAAACTTATCACAAAGAACTATGAACCTTCAAAACATGAATTTTCTGCCTTCACTTACACACAAGGAAAACAAAACAAATCTCTAAGTAGTTAAATAGAAAAGTAGAAAATCATACCTACAGTCAGTGAACAGCAGTAGAGAGAACTCCTAACTTCTGCTCCAAGGTTGTTTGAGGGATAGCTACACAATGATTATTCTGTTACATGCTAATGAAGGAAATTTGGTAAGAGAAGCAGAGATTTCCTTATTCCATTAGTGCGAATAAATAGGTTCAATTGAAATCTCATCACATTTCCTTGCTACCACTTATTGTTGGGGAATCAGGTCATCACTGTATATTGCATTTATGCAGCCAATTTTCCCACAAAATCTCTCCTAAAGCAGGGCTATTGATGCCTTTCACATATTCTATCCTACTTATGATCTTTAGAACCCTAGGAGGGTTAAGCTTTGTCACTGTGGGACTCAGTGTCATCATTTGCAAAATAAGGACAATGATAAGCACCTATTTTTGGGGATTGTTAACAAGTATGAGATGCTCTAACTCATGTTAGGACAGTTTTACAAGTGTCCAGAATATATCAAACACTAACAAAGTATTAGCCGTATTAATATCTAACACATTTGATTGTTATTCTGTTAAACCTGACACATTTTTTTTTAACTCATTGCCACTGTTGAAGAGAATGTCCTTCATCAGTTAGAGGTAAAATGCTTAAGTATGTTAAAACACGAGGACATTAGTACAGGGTGTGAATAAGTTTTGGTTAAAGTGAAAATGAGAACATAAAAGCATGTAATTTCTATGGCATAGTTGAGAAGT